GGAGGGGCCGCAAACGCAGATCACAGGGATCTGAGGAGGAAAGACCCATCCGAGGCTGGGAAGGTGGCCAGAGTTTGGAGCTGGACATCCATGAGCAGCTTCAGGATGAGGAGAAGCCCCACAAGTGCTCAGAATGTGGGAAGAGCTTCAAGATCAGATCCGAGCTGATCCGCCATTGGAGAATCCACACAGGGGAACAAACCTACATATGTGGGGAGTGTGGGAAGAGCTTCAGGACAAACTCTGAACTGACCACCCACCAGAGAAACCACACCAGGGAATGTCTCTATGAGTGTGATAAATGCAGGAAGAGGTTTCAGATGCGTTCCTGTCTCGTCAGGCATCAGCGGAGTCACACAGATGAGAGGCCCTTCTGCTGCCCCCATTGTGCAAAGACCTTCAAGGACAAGTTTGTCCTCGTCACCCACCTGCGCATCCACAGCGGGGAGAGGCCCTATGAGTGTCCTGAGTGTGGAAAGAGCTTCACCCAGAGCTCCACCCTGACTGCCCACCTGAGGACTCACACGGGGGAACGACCCTACGAGTGTGCAGAGTGTGGGAAGAGCTTCAGGACAAGCTCTGAACTCACCATCCACCAGAGAACACACACTGGGGAACGTCCCTATGAGTGTGAGGAGTGTGGGCAGAGCTTCCAGAAGAGCTGCCACCTGACCCGACACATGGGAATCCACATAGGACAATGGCCCTTCAAGTGTGGGCAGTGTGGGAAGAGCTTGAGGTCGAGGTCTGAACTGATTGTCCACCAGCGAAGCCACACGGGGGAACGGCCCTTCAAGTGTGGGGAGTGTGGGAAGGGCTTCATATCAAAGTCCCACCTGATTGGCCACCAGAGGATCCACACCGGGGAGAGGCCCTATGAGTGTGATAAATGCAAGAAGAGATTTCCAATCAGCTCCAGTCTCATTCTGCACCAGCAGCTCCACACAGATGAGAGGCCCTTCCGCTGCCCTGACTGCGGGAAGGGCTTCACCCGCAACTGCAATCTCGTCACCCACCGGCGCATCCACACCAGCGAGAGGCACTACGAGTGTCCTGAGTGTGGGAAGAGCTTCTCAGAGAAGTCTGCCTTGACCAGACACCAACGGAGCCACCACTAAAGGAAGCCCTTTGAGTGCCCTGAGGGCAGGAAGAGCTTCCTGCGCTGCTCCAGCTCCATCCCTCACATGAGGATCCATGTTGGATGATCCCCAGTGACCCCTGGGGATCCATGGTGCCGGTGATCCGTGTTGGGAAGACACCTGGCTGGGGGCTCCACATCCTCCTGGCTCCCCATGGGCACCTGCACACATCCACAGACCAACATCAGAAATCTGTGGAAGAATGAGTGGATGAACAGGGCCATAGATCCCTGGAAATGTTGTACAAGCAAACCCCATGTTAGCTTAGCATAAGCAGGCCACATGCCATGATAGGGAGATTGCAAAATATGCTGCATCATGCTAACAAGGACGAAAGGGCAAGGACAGTGACGAGAACGAGGAAGAAATATTGTTTTGCAGTCTAAAAATAGGGAAGTAAAAGCGATGAGAATGGGGAAGAACCCTGTGTTAGAAACCACAAAGTAGGGGGAGTATGTAAATGTAACCTTTTGCTTTAAACCAATGAACGACAAGTATGCATAATTACTGGAAACAATATAAAAGTACCGTTGTACTCGAAATAAATGAAGCTTGCTTTACCAATCATATTGATTGACTGCTTGTCTTCCCTCACTGCCTGCAGAAATCCATTGTGGAGAGCAGATTTGTCAACTTCTGACCCCAGAAAAATCTCCCTTTTTGCATCTTCTGGTGGCATCAAGCAAGATTGAATGGCCTTGGAGATATTCTCCAACATAAATCTATCATTTTAATTCTCTGTGGCCTGCAGGCATCTTCCACAGCCCAGAAGGGACGGATTGGGGCAAAAGCCCTGATTTTGGAGAGAGTTGGGTGGAAACCCCTCCAAAAAAGGTTCTTCCCACTCACCCAAGTATGTGGATGTTCTGCTAGCAGGGACACGTAAATCCTTTTTGGCCTTGAAATGTTTTGGCCTTTGAAAAGCCTGAAACTAAGGTAAAAATAAACACCTTGAACTAAGGCATAGATGGGGACATGTGAGAACATGGGAAACATGGATGGGGACATGAACTAGGACAGCATCAGTGCCACCACCTGTGCCCCCACAGTGCTACCAGAACCTTCATCTTGGCCATGGCCAAGCACTGCCCAATGCAGTTCCTGCCACCATGTCTCCACTGTCACCACTGCAGTGTTCCAGCTGAATGTCACCCACCACCATGGCAGGATGGGAACTTGTTCAGCTGGTGACAAGTGGCCTGGAAGTGAGTGACAGACACCAGGGTGTCCCAGGGCCACTGGGCTCAGGGGATTCCAACTGCCCCTGGGGACAGGGCAAGGGTCAGTGTCTCCCACAGATGTGGATATTGACAGCCTGGTCAGAGAGAAAGTCAGATAAACTTTCCCAGGCATTGTCCTGGGGAGTTTTGAGAATGCTCAGAGAAAAAACTAAAAACAATTTCTAATCTTTGCAGCTGGTGTTGTAACTTGTAAGATGTTTACAAGAAGGGTGGTTTGTAATTAGCCAATGGTGTGAGGGGTGTTGATTAATGACCACTTAGGTCAAATTCTATCGTAACTGTCTATAAAGGGAATGCGGTTTTCTAATAAAGTTTGCATTGCCTCCTGAAGACCTAGAGTCTATGTGTGGCTTCAGTCAGCTGTCCCTAATACAACAGCAACATGTGGAGTCACGTGGCCCCACACTGGGTGTCCCCAGAAGTGTCCTGGTGGTCACCACAGGTGTGGTGACATTGCCCCCTGATGTGTGTCCTGGTGGCATTGTGTCCCATCCCCTCTGTCCCCATTCCCCACCGTGGCTCCCTGTCTGCCCTCTGTGTGTCCCTGTCACCTCTCTCAGTGTCCCTGTCCTCATCTCTCCTATGTCTTCCTGTACCCTTCTGTGTGTCCCTGTCCCCTTCCCCTGGCAGGCCCAAAGTCCCCAAGGTCCTGGGGTCCTCAAGGTGTCTTCATGTCCCTCAGGATGCTCCCATGGCTGCTCCTGGTTCTGAACATCTGCATCCACCCAGCACAGGTAGGGACATCCCACAACACCCTGTGACACCCAACAACATCTGACGACACCCTTTGTCCACTGATTTTGGGTACTCCCCCCCCCCCCCCCCAACTTTGGGACCTTTTCCCCTCTTTTGTATCCTTTCCCCCTCTTTTGGGTTCCCTCTCCCCATTTTGTGTCATCTCCTCCCTATTTTGGGTCCTTTCCCCATTTTGGGTCACTGCCCCCCTATTTAGGGTCTGTTCCTCCCTATTTTGGATCCTTTCCTGTTGTTGTTCTATTTCTAGAGTCCCATACTGTTGTATTGTTGTTGTTCTATTTCTAGAGTCCCATACTGTTGTTATCAGATTTCTAAAGTCCCATACCTCCTCAGTGCATTCTTATGGCTGCAGATCTTCACAGCACAGACTCCTCCTTCTGCATGTTGTTCTTTCTCAGTTCAGGGCTCCATCAAGGCTCTCCCTGACTGGCTAACTCGTCCCCTTTTATCCCAGTTATCTTCATTACTCACAGCTGCAGCCCAATTAAGGACATGGCAGCTGCAGCCCATCAAGGACAACCGGGACCTCCCGGGGCAAAGCCTCTATACAGATATTCAAATACAATACTTCTATTTTGCTAAGACTCAAAGGCCACCTCTACTATACTTTCCCCCTTTTTCAACCTTTCCCCCAATTTTGGGCACCCTCCCCATTAATTGGGGCAAATTTTTGGGTGCATCCCACCCTCCAACACCCTCTCCAGCCCTTAACCCCTTTTCACCCCCCACACCCAGGCATGTCCCCAGCTGTGTCCCCAACTGTCCCCCTGTCTCGGCTTGAAAAGACATGTGTCTGCTAAGGAAGGCAGGAGCCTCCCCTGAACTGGAAATTGTAAATCCCCTCCCTCTGAATTGTTATAAATTTGAAATTAAGGGGGGAGGCTCTCAGGCAAAGATATGGAAGCAGGAATAACAGTTCTTTAATAGGGAAGAAAATTTTAAAAAATAAAATAAACAATGCAGTAGTACAAAACAATGCTGATAGAGTCAGAGCACAACCTGACACCCTGTTGGTCAGGGTGTTGGTAGCAATCCAATTGGAATTGTGGCTGCAGTCCTCCTGGAGTGGCAGATGTGGTTCTGTTGGAGCAGGGATCCTGTAGAAGGGTGTAGTCTTCCTCTGAAGATCCAGTGGAAAAGGCAGCTGCTCCTCTGGGAATCCAGTGGCTGTTCTGGTGTCCCAAAATCTCAGATTATATCCTGTCAGGAATGCTTGGCTCCTCCCTCTGGGCAGAGCATCTCACAATGGCATGCTGTAATTTTTATCATTCATGAAGTGATATTCAATAGCCTATTAACAGGAGATGTCTCCCTGGAGGGAGCATTGGTTTGTGAAAGGCATGTGGCTACGTGGCTCTGGCTGTGTTGGGAGACCCTGGCGGAGGTTCTGGGGCAGATGATCAAGGACCCCCTGCCCTGGAACTATCCCCATGTCCCTCCATCCCGCTTCCTGGTGTCCCCTGTCCAGAATTCCCCTCTTGCTGCTTTTACCCCTTTCTTAGGTTGAAAATATGTGTGTGTATTGACTGTGGACTTTCGTGGCTTGAATGAAGTGACTCCACCGCTGAGCGCTGCTGTGCCGGACATGCTGGAACTCCAGGACGAGCTGGAGTCCAAGGCAGCAGAGTGGTACGCCACTATAGACATTGCCAATGCATTTTTCTCCATTCCTCTGGCAGCAGAATGCAGGTCTCAGTTTGCCTTCACATGGAGGGGAGTGCAGTACACCTGGAACCGACTGCCCCAGGGGTGGAAGCACAGCCCCATCATCTGCCATGGACTGATCCAGGCTGCACTGGAAAAGGGTGAGGCTCCAGAACACCTGCAGTACATCGATGGCATCATTGTGTGTGGGAACACGGCAATGGAAGTGTTTGAGAAAGGAGAGAGGATCATCCAGATTCTGCTAGAAGCCAGCTTTACCATCAAAATGAGCACAGTCAAGGAACCTGCCCGAGAGATCCAGTTCCTGGGAGTGAAGTGGCAAGATGGACGGTGTCAGATTCCCACTGAGGTCATCAACAAGATCACAGCAATGTCTCCACCAACCAGCAAGAAGGAAACACAAGCTTTCCTAGGCGCCATAGGCTTTTGGAGAATGCACATTCCTGAGTACAGTCAAATTGTGAGCCCTCTTTACCTGGTCACCCACAAAAAGAATGATTTCCACTGGGGCCCTGAGCAGCAACAAACTTTTGCCCAGATCAAGCAGGAGATCGCTCATGTGGTAGCCCTAGGGCCTGATCAGGACGGGACCAGAGGTGAAGAATGTGCTCTACTCTGCAGCTGGGAACCATGGTTTGTCCTGGAGCCTTTGGCAGAAGGTGCCTGGGGAGACTCGAGGCCGACCACTGGGATTCTGGAGCTGAACCTACAGAGGGTCCAAAGCCATCTACACTCCCACAGAGAAGGAAATCTTGGCTGCCTATGAAGGAGTCCAGGCTGCCTCAGAGGTGATTGGTACAGAAGCACAACTCCTCCTGACACCCCGACTACCGGTGCTGGGGTGGATGTTTAAAGGAAAGGTTCCCACCATGCCACTGATGCCACATGGAGCAAATGGATTGCTCTCATCACACAGCGTGCCTGTATTGGAAACCTGAATCAGCCTGGGATTTTGGAGATAATTGCAAACTGGCTGGAAGGTGAAAACTTTGGTCTCACTGATGAAGAGGAACAAGTGCAAGTGACACAGGCTGAAGAAGCTCCACCATTCAACCAACCACCAGCAGAGGAAACACGCTATGCTCTTTTCACTGATGGTTCCTGTCACATCATAGGGATGAACTGGATTTGGAAAGCAGCCATATGGAGCCCCACATGACAGGTTGCACAAGCTACCAAAGGAGAAGGTGGATCAAGCCAACTTGCTGAACTCAAGGCCATTCAACTGGCCCTAGATGTTGCTAAAAGAGAGAAGTGGCCAAAGCTCAACCTTTATACTGATTCATGGATAGTAGCCAATGCTCTGTGAGGTTGGCTGGAAAGGTGGAAAAAGGCCAACTGGCAGCGTAGAGGAAAACCAATCTGGGGGGCTGATGAATGGAAAGACATTGCCCCTTGGCTAGAGAAGCTACCTGTGAAAGTCCATCACGTAGACACCCATGTCCCCAAGAGTCAGGCTAATGAGCCTGAAACAATGAGCAGGTAGACCAGGCTGCAAAGATGGGGGTGTCCAAGATAGACCTAGATTGGGAACACAAGGGAGAGATATCCCTAGCTTGATGGGCCCATGATGCCTCAGGCCATCAGCGCAGAGACGCCACCTCTAAGAGACGAGGGGTGGATCTAACCATGGACAGTGTTTCTCAGGTTATCCATGACTGTGAGACGTGTGCTGCCATCAAGCAGGCCAAGCCAGTGAAGCCCCTAAGGTATGGCAGGCGGTGGTTCAAATATAAATGTGGGGAGGCCTGGCAGATTGACTGCATCACACTGCCCCAGACATGCCAAGGCAAGCGCTACGTGCTGACCATGGTGGAAGCCACCACTGGATGGTTGGATACCTACCCTGTGTCTCATGCTGCTGCCTGGAACACCATCCTGGGCCTGGAAAAGCAAGTCCTGTGGAAACATGGCACTCCTGAGAGAATTGAGTTGGACAATGGGACCCATTTCAAGAACAGCCTTACAAACACCCAGGCCAGAGAACATGGTATCGAATGGATAGATCATATCCCTTATCATGCACCAGCTGCCAAGAAAGTTGAACAGTAAAATGGACTATTTTAGACTACTGTGAAAAATGCGCATTTTATGACTGGCTTTTTGCAAATATTAAAATGAATATTATATGTGTTATGTTCAAAAGTTTTGCTATATTAATTTTCTTAAGTAGTGTGTTAAATATAGTTTTAGTTTATGACATAATAGAAACTATGCTGTGTAATATGTAAGTGTCTATGTAAGACACTTTTTTAAAGAGAGGAATGAGGTACTTGCACTGAGATAGCAGCCACAGGACACCTAAATCTTTCAGAGAAAAAGAATTAATTGCTCCCTTATCAGAAGAAATTAACTTCTCCCTGCCTTGCTCAGCCCTGAAGACTCTGTCAGGATCCAGAGAAAGAAGAAGTGACACTGACCAGAGAGAATCCTGTGTTTGAATGGAATTTATGCATCATGTATGAGATGTATGAATATGCAACAGGCTGTTGCTTTTAAGGGTTATTCCTCTGTTAACGTGGGTCCTTTTTCAGGCTTATTTTGCCCAGAAAGATGCACCTGAAATGTCCGTAACCCTTTGTTTTTATTGTCTTGTATTATTCTAATCCAAATTGTCCAAATTTTTATTACTCTAATTATATTACTATTTTTATAACCATTTTATTACTATTAAACTTTTAAAATTTTTTTATGAGTGATTGGTGTTTTTAACAGACCTCATGGGAAGGACCCCCCACTGGACCAGGGAAGGAATTCTTGTCCCTGAGGCAGAAACAGTGGCAGGAACTGACCATGACTCCCATCCCCTCTCCCTGCCCTGCTGGGCAGCAGAGGGAGGGAGTCGGGAATAAAGTGAAGTCCATGAAGGACAAAGAGGTCGGGAGAAGGTTCTTTTTCAGGGTTTATTCCACTCCTCGTTCTGCTGTTCTGATTCACTCAGTCCCAAATCCAATTCATTTTCCCACCTTGGGGCTGTTGTGCCTGTGATGGTGATCCCTGAGTGACCTCTCTCTTCCCTTATCTGCGGGGGACGGGGGAGCAGGGGGTGCAAGGGGCTATTGGTGCAAGATGAGGGGGGTCAGGGCAGTCTTAGTGCCAGGCATGGATGTGCAGGGGGAGAGAGGGTTCAGACCTGGATATGGTGGTAAAAGAAGGTCCCAGTGCCAGGAATGGGGGATCAAGCGGTGTCTTAGGTTGGAAATGGGGGTGTGTATTCTATTCCTATCTGTTAGAGGTGGGGCAGTTATCTTCTGTTAATTGGGCAGGGTTTTGTACCTCTTCCACAACCAATGTTCCCCCTGGAAAATATCTTCTGTTAACAAGCCATTGAGCCTCAATGCCTGACCGATGAACCTACATCATCCCACTGTGAAAAGCTCCGCCCTGAGGGAGGAGCCAAGCATTCCTAACTGGATATAATCTGAGATCTGGAAGACCACAATCAGCCTTTCCCTCTGGATTCCCAGAGGAGCATCCCTTTCCTGCTGGATTCCCAGAGGAAGACCAGGCCCATCTACAGCACCACTGGATCTTCAGAGAAAGACTACGCGCTTCTACAGGATCACTGCTTCAACAGAACCACACCTGCCACTCCAGGAGGACTGCAGCCACCATTTCAATTGGGCTGCTATCAACACCCTGACCAACAGGGTGTCAGGTCGTATTCTGCCAGTGTTGTTTTGTATTACTGCGTTGTTTATTTTATTTTTAAAAATTTTCTTCCCTAATAAAGAGTTATTCCCCCTCCCATATCTTTGCTTGAGAGCCCCTTTATTTCAAAATTATAACAATTTGGAGGGAGAGGGTTTACATTTTCTATTTCAGGGAAGGCTCCTGCCTTCCTCAGCAGACACCTGTCTTTTCAAACCAAGATAAGTGGTCTCGTTGTCAGGGAACAGAGGGGACGGGGGGATCCCCAGCCTGGAAATTGAGTTCCAGGGGTGTCCTGTGGCACAGAAATAGTGAATCAGGGTTTCCTGTATGGGAAATGTGGGTTCAGGGAAATTTCCTCCCTGGAAATGGACATTCAGAGGGGTTGTAGTGCCTGCAAATGGAGGTTCAGAGAGGTGCTGATGCCCAGAAACGGGGATTCAGGCATGTACACGTGCCTGATAAGAAGTAACAGGGGGTCCTGGTGCTGGGAAGCGGGGTGCAGTGAGCCATAGTACCCAGGAATGGTGGTTCAGGGGGGTTTACGGTGGTCCTGGGGTCATATAAGGAACATAGGGGTCCTGGTGCTGGGGAAGGGGATTCAGGGAGGTCACAGTATGCAGGAATGGGGGTGGATGCTGTTCTAGTGCCCGGAAATGGAAGTTCAGGGGGTTCCCAGTGCCCGGAAATTGCGGTTCAGGGGATTCCGGCTGTCGAGGGTCCCCCTCACCTCTCACCGCCCCCCCAAGGCCCCCCAAGAGCGCCCCCAGCCCCAGCACTGGAGCCAATCCGCTGCTCCGCTACGGCCCCGCCCCCAGAGCCGCCAGTAACGCTGCTCTTTCCTGCCCGCCAATGGTATACCGAGGATTCTGTGACGTCATCGGTCTCCGGGCAGATCGCGGCGGCGCAGAGCGGGGAACGCGGAACCGAAGGTGCCCGAGGGAGCGCAGAGGGGAGGGGACGGGGGAATTCCAGGGAATTCCCCGGGATCCCCCGTGGCATCTCCCGGGACCCTCCTCGGCCGTGCTGAACTCGCTGGACCTGCGCTCAAACTCTGCCTGGAGCCCGCTGGCGGAGCAGGACTGGGCGCTGGGACCCCGATCCCTGATCCACAGTCTCCTTCTCTCTCTCCTCTGTTCTCTCCCTTTCCTCCAGGTGATCATAAACCCCAGAGCAGCTGCAGAGCCCCGTGCCCAGGCCGGGTTTCCCAGCAAAGGGAGGCCTGGGGCTGAGGTGCCCCGGGCTGGCCGGGAATGGGGCTCCGGGAGTCCCCGGGCTCACGGAAACGGGAGATCCAGGGGCTGCCAGAGGAGGAGAGCTGGGAAAGGGGGTGCAGGGGGTGTCGGTGCAGGATAAGGGGGTGCAGGGGATCCCGCAGCTGGGCAGGGAGATGTGGGGGCGTCCCAGTGCCCAGGAATGGGGATTCAAGGAGGTCCCAGGGGGGCTCCCCAAAGCCCCTCCCAGGGGGGAGCAGGAGCTGGGTCAGGACTCTGGCGAGAGCAAAGGGGGTGTCCCCAGCATGGGGGCACATGGGGGAGTCACAAGCACTCCCAGGGGGACAGGACCCCCAGGAGACCCCACCTCACCTTCTCCCGTAGTGGAGGCCGAGCCCCAGCCAAGGCAGACAAAGCCCAACACGAAGCCCCCGAGCCCCGGCAGCACCTTGGGTGTGGGTGTGACAGGCTGGTCAGAGAGCCAGAAAACCAGGTAAGTTTTCTCACAGCTGACTTGTGAGACTTTTAGGGAGTTGTAGAGACACGATGATAGCTTGTTATTATAAACAGCCTGCAGGTGGTGTTTTCCTACTCTCTGTTTTCCTGTTTTTCTCAAGGATTGTTTCTAAGAAAGGTGTTTTTGTTAATTAGCCAGTCAGGTGAAATGTATTGATTGATTGACCAATCTGGTCTGAATGTATGGGCACAGTCTATCAAAAGAGAGAATTTTCATATTAAAACTACTGCTGTGCAAAGCAGCCTTCTTGTGAGTCTGTGCCGCTTCCTTACTCAGCAGCGACACTTGGGGGGCGTCCAGCGGCAGCTCCGGGGCCGGGAGGGGCAGGATCCGGGAAACGGCGGTGGCTGCTGGGAAGGGACTGGCATGGACTGGGACAGGCTGGGATACACTGGGGTACACCGGGATACACTGGGATACACTGGGATACAACGGGATACTTCGGGATACACTGCGCTACACCGGGATACACTGGGATACATCAGGATACACCAGGACTGGGACCCACTGGGAGCAGGATCAGGGCACACTGGGAACCAGCAGGACCAGAGCTTGGGCAACAGGGATCATAGTGGGACCAACTGGCATTGACTGGTACTTACTGGGATCATACTGGTGGAAACTGGAACCTTACTGGGACATGTGGCTGTGACTATGAGTATGCTGAGGGCAACTGGGATATACTGGGAGTGTCTGTAACCAGACTTAGGGTGACTGGGAACGCACTGAGAGCGACTGGCAGTGACCGGATCTACACTGGGAGCAACTGGGATTGACTGGGACCATGCTCAGGGAGATTGGGATCCCACTGGGATCATCCTTGGAATGACTGGGTCTATGCTAGGGGCAAATGAGGTCATACTGGGGCTGAGGGCAACTGGGACCATATTGGGGCAACTGGGACATAGAGGGAGTGACAGGAATCATGCTGGAGGTGACTGGGGTGACTGTGAGCAACTGGAATCATGCTGGAAGCTACTGGGAGTGAGTGGAGACACACTGGGGGAACTGGGATATACTGGGAGTGATGGGGAGTGACTGGGATCACAGGAACCATAAAGGAAGTTACTGGAGTAATACTGTGAGTATCTGGGAGTGACTGGGACCATGCTGGGAGTGGCTGGAACTATACCAGGGGTGAATGGAAAGCCCTGGGACCATGCTGGGATCATACTGGGGTGACTGAGAGTGACCTGGGGACAACTGGCCCAGCTGGGGCTCAGGATTTTCTCCCAAGGGTTGCCCCAGGTCCTACAGAGCTGAGGGACAGGGACAGCCAGGGAACACGGCCTGGCCGAGGGACACTGAGCTCCAGCACTTTAGGCTGTTGCCCTTGGGCTCCCAGCACAGGCCCAGGGGCAGAATCCCCTCCAGGAACTGTTGTTTGCTTTAAGCCTTGCTCTGAAAAATTCCCCAGGAGCCCCTGCAGTGGCTGCAGCCCGGCCGGGTGCCCGGGGCCACCAAAGCCACTCCAGCCATGCCCTCCTGCGCTGGGCAGGGCACAGAACAGCCAAGGAAACACTCGTGCTGGGCTCAGGGCAGGGACAGGGCACTCCCCTCATGCTGCCACGGGCACAGCAGAGCCGGCCTGGGCAAAGGATTGGGATTGATGTCCCATGGAATCCCAGCAGGGATTAGGTCTCATTTCACTGCTCTCATTGGATTGGTCATCAATTCAAATCATTTCCCCATGGAATTCTCCACAGAGTGGCACTGAGTTAGGAGGGATCCATCCATGCAATTCTCACCTGAGTGGGATGAGAGTGAGACTCGGCCATGGAAATTCCATGGGAATTCCTGCATTCCAAGTCTCCCATTCCTGAATCCCACACTCCCTTAGGAATTCCCCTCCCACACCCACCTTTGTGCTCCAGAGCTCCAACCATAGAGTTCCATTTGGGAGCTCTTCCCCACAGGTGTATCCCAGGTAATGCTTCATTCACTGCACCATGATCCCTTTGGATTCCCAGCACCTCTGGGTGATGCAGGTGGCACCGTCAGACACTGCAAAGCTCCCGGGTCCCAGCTGGAAGGAGATGAAATCCCAGCCCTTATGGCCATACCAGTGGGATCCATGGATGCTCCATTGGAGAGGAGGTCACAGCTGGAAACCACCTGCAGCATGTGGAGACCTGGGAACGAGGAGAGAACGGACCCATGGAGTTGTGTCCCAGCCCCACAGAGCCCCTTGGAGCTCCCTGGATTACCATACCAGTCCCACAGGTCCCATCCCATTCCCAGAGATTCCCCCAGCCCCACAGATCCCAGCCCAGCCCCCGGCTCCCCCAACTCCTCCTGTTCTGGTTGTACCGGCCCCGTCTCCAGGGCACTGTTGGCCACGTGCTGGTTCCTGTCCTTGAGACAGCTCTGGCTATCCCAATATCCCAGCTCTGGATATTCCAATATCCCAGCTCTGGCTATCCCAATATCCCAGCTCTGGATATTCCAATATCCCAGCTCTGGCTATCCCAGTGTCCCAGCCCTGGCCATCCCAGTATCCCAGCCCTGGCTATCCCAATATCCCAGCCCTGGCTATCCCAATATCCTGGCTCTGCCTATCCAAATATCCCAGGTGTGGCTATCCCAGTGTCCCAGCTCTGGCTATCCCAGTGTCCCAGCTCTGGCTATCCCAATATCCCAGCCCAGGCTATCCCACTGTCCCGGCTCTGGCTATCCCAATATCCCAGCTCAGCTCTTGCCCCCATCCCCGCTCTCTGCGGCTCCATCCGGCCCCGCTCGCTGCCCCAGCGCTCCCAGGGGGTCCCGTCCACGTCCCCCACAGTCAAGGACTGGGGGACCCCCGGGCCAGGCTCCGACAGCGCCACTTCCAGGCACTGCAGGGAGTGCAGAACTGGGGGGACACGGAGATTTGGGGGAGCTGGGGTGGGTGAGAGATTTGGGATGCAGGGAACTCAACTGGTCAAGGAAAGGTGGGAGAGCTGGGAAGGAGGTTCAGGGGCTCAGAGTCAAGGAAAGGTGGGGCAAGGATTGGGAGAGGTGGGATGGGCTGTCCTGTGCCCAGGAAAGGGGGTGCCAGGGCTCCTCTGTGTGAGGAAAGGAGGGGCTGGGGCTGGGAAAGGCAGGAATGGCAGCCCAGAGGTCCCAGGGCCAGGGAAAGGGTGGGGCTGGGGGCTGAAGAGGCGGGGGGGCAGGAAAAGGTTGTGTTGGTGCTGGATAAGGGGGTGCAGGGGGGATCTCAGTGCCGGGCAAAGGAGTAAAAGGGTGACTCCATTCTCAGGAATGGGGGGGCAGAGGGGTCTCAGGGTCAAGGAAATGGGAGGGCAGGGACCTGGAGAGATAGAAAGGAGTTCCAGGGGGTCCTTGAGCCCTGGAAAAGGGAGTCCAGGCTTTCCCAGAAAAGGGGGGTAACGGGGTGGGGACACCCGGGATGTTTAGGAATGGGGAGTTCAGGGGGCCTCTGGTTTTGCAGAAAGTTGGGGCTGGGGGCTGAGAAAGGCAGGAATGGGGGTCCAAGGTATTCCAGAGTTTCCCAGGGAAGTCTGGAGTCTGGGAGCCATGGGATGGTTGGGAAAAGGTAACCGGGGAGTCCTGATGTCCATAAATGGGGGATCCAGGGGGGTCCCTGTGCAGGAAAAGGAGAACAGAGGGGTCCCTGTGCCGGGAATGGTGGTTCAGGGTCCCGGTGCTGGGGTCCCACTCCCCCCTGACCCCCAGGAGCGCCCCCAGCCCCAGCCCTGGAGCCATCGAGCTGCTCCGGGCAGATCCCAGCGGCGCAGGGTGGGAGATGGGACAGTGCCCGAGGGAGGGCTGGGGGGAACGGGGGGATCACTTCCAGTTGTCCCCAGTGGAGGCTCTGCAAATCCCAGTGAATCCCAGTCTCCCCCAGTGTGTTCCCAGTCACCCCAGTGTGTTCCCAGTCACCCCAGTATGCCTACAGACACTCCCAGCATATCCCAGTTGCCATGAACTCGTAGTCATTCCCAGGCACTCCCAGTTACCTCAGCGTGGCTCAGTTGACCCCAGTCACTCCCAGTATATCCCAGCTGTCACCAGCATGCATCCTATCATTCCCACTTCCTCCCAGTGTGTGCACAGCTGGCTCCCAGCCTATGCTGGTAGCTCCCAGTAACCCCCAGTCAGGGTCCATTGACACCCACTATAGTCCCAGTATGGTTGTAGCCACTCCCAGTAGCATCTCAGTCACTTGCAGTCTAATCCCAGTCACTCCCATTATGATGCCAGTGGCCCCCAGTGTGATCCCAGGTGCTCCCTGTCAATGCCAGCTGACCCCAGTAGCCTCCAGTACGATCCCCTGTCTCTCCCAGTAGATCCCAGTCACCCCCAGCATGCTCCCAGTCACTCCCACTTCCTTCCAGTTGCTTTCAGCATGATTCCACTTGCTCCCAGCCACTCCCAGTCAATCCCAGTAGGATTCCAGTCACCCTCAGTGGGATCCCAGTCTCACCCAGCATGGGCCCAGCTGTGCCCAATGTGCTTCCAGTCACCCCAGTATGCTTACAGACACTCCCAGTATATGCCAGTTGCCCTCAGCATAGCCATAGTCATTCCCAAACACTCCCAGTGGCCCCAGGAAGCTGTTAGCTATCCCAGTATGATCCCAGTCATGCCCACAACATCCCAGTTGCCTCCAGCATGCATCCAGTCCTTTCCAGTTACTCCAATTTGCTTGCAGCATGATCCCAGTTTCTCTCTGTTGCTCCCAAGAGCCCAAAGTGTGATCTCAGTCACTCCATTTCAACCCCAATATGATCCCAGTAACCTCCAGTTTGATCCTCGTCATGCACCAGCACTCCCAGTGTGGTCCCAGAATAATCCCAGTTGCTTCCAATCTCTCCCACTATGGTCCCATCTGCCCCCAGCTAGGGTAACCCAGTCAGTCCCAGTATAATGCCATCTGCTCCCAGGGTGCTCCCAGTCACCCCCAGTATGGGGGATGATGTGCATGGTGTATTCCCAGTCACTCTCAGGTACTCCCAGTATTAGTCCAGTCACTCCCAGTATGATCCAAGTATGACCCCAGTGTTCTCTCAGTCACTGCCAGTAGGAACCAGTTGGGCCCCACATGGTTCCAGTTGCTCTGTTTCACCCTCACTTTCATTCCAGTCACTCCCAGTCTCTCTCAGTGTACCCCAGTTCCTTCCAGCCTATTCCCAGTCACTCCCAGTTCCTTCCAGTATGATCCCATTTCCTCCCAACCTCTCCCAATCAGCCTCAGTGCAGTCACACTCACTGCCAGTATGATCCCCGTCACCTCCAGTATGATGTCAGTTAATCCCAGTATAAGCCCAGTTGCTTCCAATCACCCCCAGCATGCAGCCAGTCACTCCCAGTTGCTCCCAGTTTCTCCCAGTATGATCCCAGTTGCTCACAGCTGCTCCCAGTCATTCTCAGAATCATCCCAGTCATTCCCAGTATATCCCATTTGCCCCCAACACGTCCTCAATTGCCTCTGAAGCCTCCTACTCCCTCCCAGTATGATCCCAGTACAGGCCAGTCCATCCCAGAGATGCCACTCCTGGCATCTCCCAGCCCTCTCTGTGTTCCCCCCTCCCGGATCACCTGATAGGAGCCCCAGGGGCTGGCAGCCCCCAGCCAGGGTCCCCAGCAAGCCCCAGAGTGGATCTGCAGCCCACAGTTTTCCCAGTTTGCCTCTCCTTCTCCCTGGGCCGGGTTTCCCCCGGCTCCAGCGGGTGGGAGCAGCCGAGAGCCCCGCGCTGCCCATCCCGACCTGTCCCGGCTCCATCCCCGCTCCTGCCGCGGGCTGCGAGGGCTGCGGGACCGGGGCAGGAGGAATGGGATGGTGGAGCAGGGAGGGAGAAACAGCGGGACAAGGGCTGGAGGGAACAGGAGAAGGAGGATGAGGAGGAGGCGTGGAGGAGGAGTGGGAGGAAGAGCTGGGAGAGAGGAGGAGGAGCGGGAAGTGGCACTGGAGGGACCACACGCTCCTGCCCTCGCTGTGTCCGCAGCCCTCCCGGCCCCTGGGGCATTTCCCCCCCCCATATCTCAGGTGACTGCAGAGGGGGAGCTCACCCAAATATCCTGGGCACTCCATGGGAGGGTATTTTTTGGGGAGGGGGGGATTTTTGGAGCTCAAAGGACTCCAAAGTGAAGCCGCAAATGGGTTTTAGGGAGATTTTGGGGGTGTCCCGGGAGGTTGTTTTTTCGCAGGGGAGGGCAGGAGAGGGGAGAACACTGGGACACCGAAGTGTGCAGCCCAGAGAGAGGAGACCTCCAGGATTCAGCCCGGAGAGGGGAACACCCTGGCGAGGGGGAAGCCCTGGAGCTCCCCACAGCCTGGAGCAGAGTCAGGGGAAACGGGAGCGCTGGGACCCCAAGAGCCCCGGAATCACTAAGAGGGAGCCCAGAGAGGGGGAGCTGGGGAATCCCCTGGGGGCTGCGGGGAAGCCCCAGCAGCACAGAGAAGGGGGAGTCCCAGAGGCCCAAGGTCAGAAGAGCAGAGAGGGGGGACCCTGGGGATTCCTGTGACAGCCTGGAGAGCGTGGGGACTCTGGAGAGGAGAACCCTCAATACAGGCAGAATCCCCAGAAGTCCAAAGTGGAGAGACCAGAGAGGGGCAATTCATGGGGAGCTCTTTTTTGAAATAATCATGAGACATTCAAGTCTTGGAAGGCTTAGTGATGGCATTTCTGAGGGGTTTCGCAATTAAATTTTTGTGGTCTGGAGGTTTTTTTGGGCAGAATCTTGGTGGTCTGGAGATTTTTATGGACACAAAATGTCTGGTGACTTCTAGAGATGGGTTAGGGCAGGAGGAATGCCCAACAAAACGCTCTCATACCTTCTTTTTCTCTTGGAAATAGGATTTCTCATTTCCAAACGTCAGCGCAGTCTGTGGACCCTGTCTCTGGGAACACCCGCTGGTGTCACCTCAATACGGTGTCCCTGCTGCCTGTTGTCACCCTCTGGTCCATGTCCCCAGTGTCCCTGTGTCACCCCTGTCCTGGTGCCCACCGTGCCTGGCATCAACCCCTGGTCCATGTCCATCTTGTCTTATGTTGCAATGCAAGATGTAACCAGCAGTATGTATTTTATCACCATCTGTTGAAACCAGGTGGAGCAGTGCTCTTTATCGCTTCCATGACCCATCCTTCCTAACTCCAGGGCAGATATTCTCTATTAATGGGCAAACTGTTAAAACCAGGTGGGGCGAGATTTTTATCTCTTCCACAACCCATCATCCCTCCAGGGAGATATTTTCTGTTAATGAGGCATTGAGCCCCTTTGACAATCCTCCCTTTCAGGGAGATATCTTCTGTTAATGGGCCATTGAGCCTCACTGCATGACTGATAAAATTACATTATCCCATTGTGAGATGCCCCACCCAGGGGGAGGAGCCAAGCATCCCTACCTGCTTATAATCAGAGATTTGGAACACCACAGTCAGGCTTTTCCCACTGGATTCCCAGAGGAGCAGCTTTTCTTCTCCACTGGATTCCCAGAGGAGCAGCTTTTCTTCTCCACTAGATTTGCGAGAAAGACCAGACCTATCTACACCACCACTGGATTTTTGGAGGAAAACTACACCGTTCTGCAGGATCACTGCTTCAACAGAACCACCTCTGTCACACCAGGAGGACGGCAGCCACCATTTAATTGGAGTGCAACAAACACCCTGACTAACAGGGTGTCAGGTTGGATTCTGACTCTGTCAGTAGTTTTTTTTTTTTTGTACTACTGCATTTTTATTTTATTTTTTCTTGCAAAGAACTGTTATTCCTATTTCCATATCTTTCCCTGAGTGCCCCTTAATTTCAAAATTATAGTAATTTGGAGGGAGGGGGTTACATTTTCAATTTTAAGGGAGGCTCTGCCTTCCTTAGCAGACACCTGTCTTTTCAAGCCAAGAGAGGCAGCGGGACCATCAAACCCAACGCGCTCAGCCCTTGTTTTCCCCCAAACCAGGATTTCCCATTCCCAAACCTTGGCCCGATGCAGGAGGAGGAGGCTATAAGGAAGAGGAAGATGGCCCAGGAGCCCCAGGCAGGTGAGGAGGAAGTCAGTGCCCCTTTCCCCCTCTCTCCTGCTCCATCTCCCAGCCCAGCACGGCCCCCGGCTGCAGGACAACCCTGCTGCCAAAGCTGTCCAGCTGGGGACGCACTGGGGGGATCTCCTTGCCCTTCCCTGTGGCACGGAGGCAAATCCCATCCTCTCCTTGTCCTTCCTCCCCCAGACCAGGCGCTGAGGATGGAGAGCAGGGAGGCTGAGTCACCACAGCAGAACCTTGGGTATGAGGCTGTTTTGAGCGGCTCCACAGTGCAGGAATCCAGCAGGGAGGAAAAGCCCCGGAGATCCCGCACGAGGAGGGGCTGCAAACGTAGCCCAGGGAGGTCAGAGGAGGAAAGACCTACCCTGGGACAGGATGGCGGCCAGAGCTCAGAGTTGGGGGTCCCCGAGCAGCTTTGCGATGGGGAGAAGCTCTACAGGTGTGGGGAATGTGGGAAGTGCTTCAGCCGAAGCTCAGCCCGGATCCGCCACCAAAGGATCCACACTGGAGAAAGGCCCTATGAGTGTGGGGAGTGTGGGAAGAGCTGCAGAGACAACTTTGACCTGATCAACCACCAGAGGAGCCACACAGGGGAATGGCCCTATGAGTGTGGGGAATGTGGGAAGAGCTTTCAGAGAAGCTCCACTCTTCTGAAGCATCAGCGCACACACACAAATGAGAGGCCCTATGAGTGTCCCAAATGTGGGAAGAGGTTTCAGACAAGCTCCCATCTCCTCACACACGAGCGGGTTCACACAGATGAGAGGCCCTTCCGCTGCCCTGACTGCATGAAGGGCTTCAAATATAACCCCGACCTCATCAGGCACCGGCGCATCCACACCGGGGAGAGGCCCTACGAGTGTCCCGAGTGTGGGAAGAGATTCACCCAGAAGTCGAACCTGATTGTCCACAAGAGGACCCACACCGGCGAGAGGCCCTATGAGTGTGGGCAGTGTGGGAAGAGATTCAGCCAGAGCTCTGAACTGATGCTTCACCAGAGGATCCACACTGGGGAACGGCCTTACGAGTGTCCCGACTGTGGCAAGACCTACAGCCGGAGCGATCACCTGATGATCCACCAGAGGAGCCACACCGGGGAGCGGCCCTATGAGTGTGGGGAGTGTGGGAAGAGGTTTCAAAGCAGCTCAGATGTCCTCGTACATCAGCGGATTCACACGGATGAGAGGCCTTTCCGCTGCCCTGACTGCGGGAAGGGCTTCAAGCACAACTCCACCCTGGTCACCCACCAGCGCATCCACACGGGGGAGAGGCCCTACAAATGTCCCCAGTGTGGGAAGACCTTCAGCCAGAGGTCAGCCTTGACCCAACACGAACGGAGGCACCACTATGAAAGCCCTGTGAGTGCCCCAAGTGTGCCCCAAGTGTGCACGGCTACAGTTCCCCAAGTGTGCACTGCTACAGTTCCATACCCCATGGCAGTATTTGTGCTGCATGCTGCCCAGTGGGCAGAGCCCCAGTGATCTGTGGTGCTGGTAATCTGTGTTGGCAAGACACCTGGCTGGGGGCTCCACCTCTTAATGGCTCCATGTGGCCTTGGTTATCTTTTCCTTTCTCTCTGTCTTTTCAAAATACCACAAACCAGGATAAAAATAAAAACATTGAACTAAGACAAGGATGGGGACATGTGGAGATCTTCCAGGGGATGTGGGGGCTGCTATGTTCCAGGGAGTTGAGGGTTCCTGCGTGGGACTTGGGCTTTGGGCACCCAAGGCTGAGTGACCTTGGCCGCACTGGGAAACCATAGCAGAGTTTCTGGGAGAGCTGATCAAGGCCCCCCTGCCCTGGAACTGTTCCCATGACTCCCTGTCCTGGTTCCCCACATCCCCGGTCCACGATCCCCCTCTCCCTGCTGTCACTCTCCTTGCTCCCCACCCGTTCCCATGTTGCCGCACTCCTTGTCCCGTCCTGCTCCCATCCCAGTCTGGATCCCATTCCCAGTCTCATTCACGGTCCCGGTCCAGTATTTGTCTGGTTGCCGTTCCCATATTCCCAGGCCCATACTCCCTATCCTGTTCCGTTCTCATATTCCCGGTCCCACTGCTGGTTGCACTTCCGTTCCCCTATTTCCATTTCTATGTTCCCAGTCCCATTCCTGTATTTCTGTTTGTGATCCTGGTCTCATCTTCCTAATCTCCATCTCATATTCTCTCTCCAGTTGGGGTTTCCATATTCCCTGTCCTGGTCCCATATTCCCATTCCCGCTTCCAGTCCCCATTCCCGCTCCCTGTCCCCTCTCTCCGGATGCCGCTGCCATCATTCCGGCCCCTCCGGCCCCCACGTGACCAGGGAAACACCGCCCTGCTCCCGCCAACCAATCCCAGGGTGCAATCGCTCCTGTATTTGCATAACCACGCCCTTCAGTTTGGCCGCACCCAGCACTGGCTACAGCTGCCTCCGGGCGCTGTTTGCTCCCAGTTCCATCCCAGTGCTCCCAGTAAGAGCGGGACTGGCAGGGAAAGCACTCCCGATTCCTTCCCGCTGCTCTCAGGATCGCTCCCAGTGTTCCCAGTATCGCTCCCAGTGCCGCGCAGGCTGGGGCCGCTTTGGGAACCCCCCCCTAGGGCAGAGGGCAGCTGCATTTGGGTGTCGGCACTGCCCGGGCTGGGCTGGGAGCGGAGGAGTGGGATGAAGAGGGAGAGAGGAGGAGGAGGAAGAGCAGGAATGGGAGGAATACGAGCAGCAGCAGCACCAAGTGGTTCCCCTGCCCGCCCGTGCAGGCTGCAGCTCCCCCGGCTCCGTCAGCATGACCCCCTCTGGAACCCACAGGTGAGCGGGATGGGGGAGCTCGCCCCAAATCCATCGGGGGGTCTCTGGGAGGGTTTTTTTGTGGGGCAGGAGATGTTTGGATCTTCCAGGACCCCAGAGCAGAGCCACAAATGCCCCTGGAGGGATCTTGAGGGTCCCACTTGGCAATTGCCTGGTACTGGTGGGCGCAGGCGCGATCTTGGGTTTGGGGATCCTGGGAGAGCCAAGGGGGAACTCAGAAGCTCCGAAGCGGAGAGAGCACAAAGGGGCAATCCTGGAGCTGGTGGACCTCTGGCAGCCTGGAGGGGTGGGGGAGGCTGTGCATGAGTGGATTCCGGGTCCTCTGAGGCTGAAAGGGGCGCTGACTTCTCCAGCTGCACTTGGGCAGCGGGACCATCAAACCCAACGTGCTCAGCCCTTGTTTTCCCCCAAACCAGGATTTCCCATTCCAAAACCTTGTCCTGATGCAGGAGGAGGAGGCTATAAGGAAGATGAAGATGGCCCAGGAGCCCCAGGCAGGTGAGGAGGAAATCAGTGCCCCTTTCCCCCTCTCTCCTCCTCCATCTCCCAGCCCAGCACAGCCCCCGGCTGCAGGACAACCCTGCTGCCAAAGCTGTCCTGCTGGGGACGCACTGGGGGCATCTCCTTGCCCTTCCCTGTGGCACGGAGGCAAATCCCATCCTCTCCTTGTCTTTCCTCCCCCAGACCAGGCGCTGAGGATGGAGAGCAGGGAGGACAAATCCCCACAGCAGAACCTCGTGGATGAGGCTGTTTTGAGCAGCTCCACAGTGCAGGAATCCAACGGGGAGGAAAAGTCCCAGAGAAGCTGCACGAGGAGGGGCTGCAAACGCAGATCATAGGGATCTGAGGAGCAAAGACCCACCATGGGCTGGGGAGGTGGCCGGAGCTCGGAGCTGGGGGTCGATGAGCAGCTTCGGGAGGGGGAGAAGCCCCACAAGTGCTCAGAACATGGAAAGAGCTTCTCCCTGAGATCTTCCCACATGAGAATCCACACTGGGGAACGGCCCTACGAGTGTGGGGAGTGTGGGAAGAGCTTCTTCGAGCACTCCATGCTGATTGTCCACCAGAGAATCCACACAGGGGAGAGGCCCTACGAGTGTGATAAATGCAGGAAGATATTTCAGATCAGCTCCACTCTCGTCAGGCATCAGCGGATTCACACAGATGAGAGGCCCTTTCTCTGCCCTGAACGCGGGAAGGGATTCAACTGTAATTGCACCCTCATCAAACACCGGCACATCCACACCAGGGAGAGGCCCTATGAGTGTCCTGAGTGTGGGAAGAGCTTCTCACAGAGCTCTACCTTGACCCAACACCAATGGAGCCAGCACTAAGGGCAGCCCTGCAAGTACCCCAAGGGCAGGAATAGCTTCCTGTGCTGCTCCAGCTCCATCCCTCACATGAGGATCCAGGATCCACCCTGGATGATCCCCAGTGAGCGCTGGTGGGCAGAGCCCTGGTGACCCATGGTGCCGGTGATCCATGTTGGGAAGACACCTGGCTGGGGGGCTCTGCATCCTCCTGGCTCCCCATGGGCACCTGCACACATCCACAGACCAACATCAGAAATCCATTATGGAGAGCAGATTTTTTGACCTCTGACCTCAGATAAATCTCACCTTTCTCATCATCCAGTGGCATTGAGCAATACTGGATAGCCTTGCAGTTCTTCTCCAACATAAATCCATTGTTTTATTTCTCCATGGCCCACAACTGTCTTTCACAGCCAAATGAGGACAGACTGGGGAAAAACCCCTGATTTTGGAGACAGTGGGATGGAAACCCCTCCAAAAAAGGTTCTTTTCACCCACCCAAGCACATGGATGCTCTGCTGGCAGGGACATGTAAATAATTTTGTTTTGGCCTTGATTTTCATTTCCTTTCTGTTCATCCCTTTGAAACTCCTGAAACTGTTGTAAAAGTAAAGACATTGAACTAAGGCATGGATGGGGGCATGGGAGGACAATGACATGGGTGGGGACAAGGCGGGACATGGAAATAGCTGGGGACATGGACGACCCAGACATAGGTGGGGACATGGGAGGACACAGACATGGAGAGTGACATGGGGGTGATTCCCTAAGTTTTAGCTTTCATATTTTTCAGATTCTATACTGCCTTGGTGTGTAACTCTGAACTTTGTATTAATTGTTAGTAAGTTCTCTTCAAATGGTAGTTAGACAAAATGACCCTTTTCCAGCTTAAGAATCCAAGGACAACTGTTACGGGCTCAGGCCCAAAAAGCATAAACAGAGAGTTGAAGGGAGAAGACAAGGAGGATGGGACTTTGTTGTATTGCACTAAATAGTTTATTTAGTAGTTGTTCTGCACTGGATAACGAGAATTTTGTACTGAGTATGGTATGTCATGTAGATCATTCCCCCTTCCTCATCACATGGTTTCTCCCCATGCACTCCTTTCTACACACCTGGTGGTCTGCCCCATGGAAACTCCTCCCCTCACCCCTCCCCAACGGCATCCCATTGGCCACGGTCCTCTTTCCCCGCCCCCTTTCCCCTGGGGTATAAAACCCCACTGCAGGTAAAGGTCCGGCCTCTTTTGCCACCTGGGTGGTTGCTGCGGCCAGCAGTGTCCCATCACAAGCCAATAAACAGGATACTCATCCCCATGTGCTGGCAGAGTGCTCCTCGTCTTTTATCTTCAGTCCATGCAGGTCCATGTGGGCTTGGGTTCCAGCTAGCCGGATTGGACCCATACAAAGCCCAGAGAACCACGGATTATTGCAGGTGACGCCCACTTGTTCATCTCCCATGACGGCCACGAATTAGCTGGTAATTCCACGAGTGGATTACGTTAGCTTTTGGACTTCCACCTTCCTCTGACTTCTTCGTCGCGTTTTTGTCGACAAGAAGGTTAGAGGGTGGGCCCAAGGCAGGCCGATCCCGGACAAGGACTTCTTTACACTTGTCCCAGCCAGCCAAGTCCCCAAGCGGGATGAGTATTCCCCGCACATCTTAGGGGCACACCCAGGGGGGCCCTCAGAGGTTGGGGGTAGCTCCCGGTGCAGGAAAATCTCCGGTCCTGAAGACGGTTTGCTTTTCCAGTGCGGCAGCACAGGCGGGGCGGCTCCGGCGCTCTGGCAGTGCCTGCGCGCTGTTTTGGGGTAGCGGGGTCCCAGCGGCGTGTTCCCGCGTTAAACCCGGTGCTGCGTGCAGGTTCCAGCGCTGCGGCAGCGCGGGCGGTGGCAGAGTGTCTGCAGCTTGCGTTTTTGCCGAGAGCAGACATGCCTGGGCAGGACCCGGCAGGCGGCGCGGACCCACTCCAGCCGCCCATGCGGCATCCAAGTTGTTTGCCATTTTAAAAGCCGCGCAGTCTCTACGCAAGCAGCCTGTCTCTCCCCCGGGGAGAAGGGGTGGGGAAGAGGCTGCCCGGATTTTCCCGGATTGGCTGTGGACTCAGTGCTTTCAGTTTTGTTTGTGCTCACTGTAAAGAAGGTAGATTTACGTGCTGCAGGAAGCAGATATGGGTGCTAAGTTTTCTGCGGCACAGAGGAGTGTTTATACCCCAATTTTAGAAACCCAAATAGTGGAAATGTTACGGTTTCCAAAGCAGTTTTGAAACGGTTTGTTCACTGGATATCTTTTCATTTCCCTCAGTTTACCCAGCAGAATGTCTGGTAAAGACAGAATTCTGTCTCTGCCTGGGATAAAATTGGAGCCATGTTAACAGCTAAAGTGGAACAGGGAGATGGGACGGTGTCTCAATTTTTCCCTGTGTTCCTGGTAATTCAGAAAGAAGTCCTGAGGAGGGATTTGAAAGGACAGCCAGAGCAAATCTCCCCTCCTGCAGCTTCCCCAACCCCTCTCCCCAAACCCTCTGCCCCTGAACTGAGAGAGAGGAGCGAGGCTTTCTGGCAATTTCAGGGTACCTGGCACTGCCACTGCTCCCCTGGCTTCCCACCTCTCTCCCAGTACCCTGGCCCTGGCAGTTGTGCTCAGGCTGACAGAGAACCTTCCCTGCACCCCTCTAACCTAGCTCCTGTTACCCCGAAGTCCTGTTCTAACGTCCCATTCCCAAAATGGCTGCGACCGCAAGGTTGGCATTCAGGATACTGCTGACCACATGGCCGGAGCCCAAAATGGCGGCATCCACGTGTTTCAGCCCTCCACCCACCCTTCTTCTCCCCACAATCCCTTTTGCCCACCTGTCCCCTCCCCACAACCCCTTCTGGTCCCACAACACCTTCCTTCCTTTGGACGCTCCTCCCCTTGCCTTTGTGTCCCCGCCCCCATTACATCATGCTGTGACCCCGCCCCTGGTTCCCATGGTTGCCCCGCCCCCCTGCCTGTTCTCCATGCCCCCTTACCTGGGTCCCAAGAGGGTGGGGCCGAGGGCTGAGGGGGTGGGGCTGAGGGCTGGGGGGTGGGGCCGATGTCTGAGGTGGTGGGGCTGAGGGCTGGGGGGGTGGGCCCCTGCCCGATTCCCACGGGGGTGGGGCAGGGGGAGGGGATGTCCCTCCTCCCAGTTACCAAGGCGCTGGGGTGGGAGGGGCAGAGGCAGGGGGTGTACCCTCTCCCGGTCTCCATGGGGGTGGGGTGAAGGGTGTTTCCCTGCCTGCTTCCCAAGACAGTGGGGCTGGCGGAGGGGGGGTGGTCCCCCTGCCCTGTCCCATGGGGGTGGGGCTGAAGGGAGAAATCCTGGGGTCCAAAACAGGAAGGAAGAAGTCATCCCCTAGGTAGCCCCTGTTGAATACACAGGTGGTAGGGCTGGTCCTAGATCCTACCAGCCCTCCTCATATCACTCAAAATGTGAGTTATGTAAAAGTCAATTCGAATTTGGGACAAATAGTGAAATTTTTAGGAGTATGATGAGAGCTACATTAACATCCCTTGAATTTGTTCCTGCTGACACTGTAGACCTTTTCCAGTGCCTGCTTACCCAGTCAGAATTCGATCTATGGGAAAGCTCTTGGAAGAGATCTCTCAGGGATCTCGTGGAAGAACTTAAGCAAATGCCTCAGGGTGCCAAAGATTTAGAGAATAATAACATTACTTATGAACATCTGTGCGGCGAAGGGGAGTGGGCTAAGCCTGAGGACCAAGCTCGGGTGTTGTCAAAATTCTTTCTAGATAAGATTTCAAAGGCTGCAGATAAGGCTTTTAACCAGCTACCAACTGCTGAAGCTAGTGGTAGTTTCCTTGACATTAAACAGTCTCCTTCAGAAAGTTTCTTGAGGTTTGTCGACTGACTCCGTGAACAGGTTGAGAGACAAGTATGGGACTCCAAGATACAGATAGAGATAGTGAAAGAGATGGCACAGAGGAATTCCAATGAAGTCTGCAGCAGGGTGCTCCTGGGACTGCCTCTCAACCCCCCACCTACACTGGCAGAGATGATGGAAGCCTGTGCTAGGAAGGCAGAACTGTTTGCTGCATGGGAGGTATGGTCAAGGCCGACAAACCCAGAGACGGTGGCAGCTGTATCTCCAGGAGTGAGGAGGCAACCGATGTCACCAGAACAACTTCAACATGTCATTTGCTTCATATGCAAAAAAACAGGACACTTTGCCCAGGACTGCCCCCAAAGCCAGCAACAAAAGACACCCTTCACACCAAAAAATGCCGATGCCAGCGTGCACCCACCCCGCGCCACGACATAAGTGCAGCGGGCTTCCCTGAAGGGGAAACCTCCCTCAAAACAGAAAATGGGGAGGAAGGGAAGCGGGGTGCAGGGATACAAAATAACAATTTACAGGATAAAATCTGGTGGCCTCACAAGCGTTTCAAGCTTGTGTCCACCAAAGCTTTTGCTTTCAGGTCTACCCAGTGGACGGTCATTGGAGTGGACCTGCCAGAGGACTTGCAGAGCTTGACAAAAGATCGCACAAGATTGGACAGTGAGTACTTTGTTATTGGGGACACTGCACACACACCCATGGAGATTGAGGTGGCTCCCATGACCATCAAAGGGGACATACCTAACCTCATTCTCCTGGTGCCCTGTCCACAGCCACCCTTCTATTTGGCCAAGGGGCAAATCATCACCCAGGCCATTCCTATTCCACCAGAAATTTCAGTAGATGACAAGGCACCAGGTGTATACTGGGCAGAAGTGTTTGTCGAGGACAAACCCATTATGGGTTGCAACCTAATGCGTGGAACAGAACATCTCCACGTGGAAGGGTTGCTTGACCCAGGGGCAGATGTGACAATCATACCTGAAAGGTTGTGGCCGTCACATTGGGACTTGCAGCCCGTGGCTGGTCAAATCCAAGGTGTAGGAGGATTCACATTGGCAAAGATATCAGAGAGCATTGTGCAAATTGAGGGACCAGACGGAAAATTGGCCAGTGTCCGTCCATTTTTTACTAATT